GAGAAATGGGGGGGTCGGGGTGAGAAATGGGGTGGGGGGAAACTGGAATTATTGGGGTGAGAAATGGGGGGTCAGGGTGAGAAAATGGGGGCTCTTTTGGGAAGGAGGGTTTTCCAGGAATGCTTTGGGTTTCCAGGAATGCTTTGAGTCTCCTGGAAGGTTTTGGCTTTCCTGGAAGGCTCTGAATTTCCAGGAACGTTTTGTGCTTCCTGGAAGCTTTTCCCTTCAGAATTCCCAGATTTTCCTGCCTCTCCCAACCCCCTTTTTCCCCCAGGAAGGACCACGAAAAAGCCGAATTCGAGGTGCACGAAGTCTACGCCGTCGACGTCCTCGTCAGCAGCGGCGAGGGAAAGGTCAGCTCATCCCTAAAGAAACGCCGGGAATTCCCAGCCTGGGTGGCTCCAGAGCTTCTCCAGATTGTGGGAATTCCCTGGCAATGTTTTCCAGGCCAAGGATGCGGGGCAGAGAACCACGATTTACAAGCGGGACCCCTCCAAGCAGTACGGGCTGAAGATGAAAACCTCGCGCGCCTTCTTCAGCGAGGTGGAGCGGCGCTTCGACACCATGCCCTTCACCCTGCGGTAAATCCCGGGAATTCTGCTGGGATGGGGCTGCAATTCCACCTGGGATACCTGGGTGGGGATGGAGTACCTGGACAGGGCTGGAATTTCCAGGGGTTTGAGCCTTCTGCAGTGAGGTGGAGCAGCGCTTCAACACCGTGCACTTCATTCACTCTGTGGTGAATCCTGGGAATTCTGTCTGGGATGGGGCTGGAATTCCACCTGGGATACCTGGATAGGGATGGAATTCCACCTGGGGTACCTGGGTGGGGCTGGAATTCCACCTGGGATACCTGGATAGGGCTGGGATTCCAGGGGTTTGAGTTTTCTTAAGCGAGGTGGAGCGGCGTTTCGACACCGTGCACTTCACCCTTTGGTAAATCCCAGAAATTCTGCGGGGATGGGGCTGGAATTCCACCTGGGTGGGGCTGGAATCCCACCTGAGATACCTGGATAGGGCTGGAATTGCACCTGGAATACCTGGATAGGGCTGGGGTACCTGGATAGGGCTGGAATTCCAGGGGTTTGAGCCTTCTGCAGCAAGGTGGAATGGTGCTTTGATACCATTCACTTCACTCTGTGGTGAATCCTGGGAATTCTGCTGGGATGGGGCTGGAATTGCACCTGGGGTACCTGGATAGGGCTGGAATTCCACCTGAGATACCTGGATAGGGCTGGGGTACCTGGCTAGGGCTGGGATTCCAGGGGTTTGAGTTTTCTTCAGTGAAGCAGAGCGGTGCTTTGACACCAAGCCCTTCACCCTGCGGTAAATCCCGGGAATTCTGCTGGGATGGGGCTGCAATTCCACCTGGGGTACCTGGATGGAGCTGGGTTACCTGGCCAGGGCTGGGATCCCAGGGCTTTCCCAGCAGGTGTTTTTGCACCAGGTGTGGGTTTGGGAAGGGAGTGAACCCGGAATTCCGGGGATTTCAGCATTTCCTGGGCAGGTGTTTGTAGGTATTGGCTCAGGTGGGAGCTCAGGATTGCCCAGGTGCACTCAGGTGTGATCCCATGTGCACCCAGGTGTGATCCCAGATGTGCTCGGGTATGATCCCAGGTGCTTCCAGGAGTGCTCAGGTGTAATATCAGGTATACCACAGGTGTACTCTCAGGTGCTCCCAGGTGTGCTCAGGTGATCACAGGTGTGCTCAGGTGTGATCTCAGGTGCTCCCAGGCGTGCTCAGGTGTGATCTCAGGTGCTCCCAGGTGTGCTCAGGTGCTCACAGGTGTGCTCACAGGTGTTCTCAGGTGTGATCTCAGGTGCTCCCAGGTGTGCTCAGGTGCTGTGTCCCCGCAGGGCGCTGGAGGATGAGAAGAAGGCGCGCATGGGGGTGGTGGAGTGCGCCAAGCACGAGCTGCTGCAGCCCTTCAATGTCCTGTACGAGAAGGAAGGTGAGACTGGGACAGGGGGACACCTGGGGGGACACAGGGGACACCTGGGGGGATAGGTGAGACTGGGACAGGGGGACACCTGGGGGGACAGGTGAGACCTGAGGGGACAGCGTGGGGCAGGGGGGACAGGGGAAATCTGAGGGGACAGGTGACACCTGGGGACAGGTGAGGGGACAGGGGGAAATGGATGCAGGTGAGTTTGGAACTGCAGAGCTGCTCCCAGAGCAGGGATTGCAGGTCCTGGCAGGTGTAAGGGGCAAGAATTGCAGGTCCTGGCACAGGCAGGTTCAGCCCCACAGGTCCTGGAAGGGTTAACCCCATTGTCCTGTTCTTCAGGGTTAATGCACAGGTCCTGGCAGGGCTGGAGCTCAGGGTCACCCCCAGGTCCTGGCAGGGCTGGAGCTCAGGGTCACCCCCAGGTCCTGGCAGGGCTGGAGCTCAGGGTCAGTGTCACAGGTCCTGGCAGGGCTGGAGCTCAGGGTCAGTCTCAGTCTCACAGGTCCTGGCAGGGCTGGAGCTCAGGGTCACCCCCAGGTCCTGGCAGGGCTGTGTCTCAGCATTAACCCCTGTGTGCCCGCAGGGGAGTTCGTGGCCCAGTTCAAGTTCACGGTGCTGCTGATGCCCAACGGCCCCATGAGGATCACGAGCGGCCCCTTCGAGCCCGAGCTCTACAAATCCGACCTGGACGTGCAGGACGGGGAGCTCAAGGTTGGTTCTTCATTAATATTCATCATTAATCATTTTAATATGCAAATTAACCATCTCTGTAAACATAGCTCTATGGAAAATATTCATAGGAACAGTGTATCTATTTTGTATTTTTAATAATTATTTATTAACAGCTATATTTTCTTGGAAAATAAAATGGAAAATAGGTTTAGAATAGTTATTAGTGTTAACAGATTAATTGCTAATAAGAAATAAATTTTTATATGTATAAATAGAATCATATATAATAAATATCAAATAACATAAATTATGTATAAATAAAATACCTTGCAAATATAGGAATCTATAATAAATTAGTCTATATAAATAAATAAAAATAATTATAATTATGTAAAATGTTTTCTTTAATTATTTTATTTGTAGAATATTATAATTACATTTTCTAATTAATAGTCTATATTAATTAGACTATACTTACATAAATAGATATATAAATATAAATAGTAAATAAATACTCTGAGTAATATAGTAATAGATATAATTTTATATATAATGATATATTAAATATTTTTATTAGTATCTTATATCTATATATAATATAGATATTATATGAAATATATATATTATATATTAAGTGTTATATATATAAAATTATTATTAATATATTGTAGAGTAAAACAGTATGAGTTTCCTATTAATTGAATTATTAAAGATTGAAATAATAATGGAAATATTGATAATTAAAATAGTGATAACTGAAATATGAATAATTAAAATATCAATAGATAAGCTATTACTAATTATAGTTTAATTGTTAATATATCAAGAATAGCTTTATTTTTAATATTATTTATAATAAATTAATAATAATTAATAAAGAAGCACCTCCTCAGGGTCACCTGTCCTTGCCCCCAGGGAGGGGAGGTGAAGGAAAGGGAACCAAATCCTCCCCCAAATTCCCATTATCCCAAAAAATCCTCCCCTTTTCCTCCCTTCCAGGCCCTTCTACAAAGCTCTGCCAGCAGGAAGACCCAGAAAAAGAAGAAAAAGAAGGTAAAAATGGGCACTTTTTGTGTTGGGAATTCCCAATTTTTGGGGGTTTTTTTTTTCACCAGAAGGACCCTGAAAAATCCCTGGATTTTTTTTTTCCCCACAGGCTTCCAAAAATGCTGAAAACGCCACCACGGGGGAGACAGCAGAGGAGAACGAGGCTGGTGACTGAGAGCCCTTGGAGTTCTCAAATCGCCCCTTTTTTCCCCCTAAAAAAAAAAAAAAAAACCCACGAGAAAAAACAAAATTCCATCTGGAAATGAAAATAATCTGGCACCGGTGTTGGTCCAGGCAGTCTGGAATTCCCACAGAATCCAAGAGCTC